TAGACCAGGTTCCACCGTCTATTGCTGGAAGCAATTGATGGTCAAGAGGTGTGTGCGGCCACGCTCAGGCCCCATTTGCCCTGTTGTCTTCCGAATGGATGCTTTACCAATCAGTTATGCCTTCTACTACCCTATGGGAAGTCTGAAGACGCTACACCCTCTTTCTCTGACCTAATTAAAGGCTAATGAACACCTTGGGAGCTTTTGTAACATTAGGTTTTACACAAAAGCATGAAAACTGCGATGTTACATAGCAATATAAAAATTTTGACACAAAATTTTGGGTTCAAACTTAATGTCTTGCACTTTACAACCATTTAGAAATATGAAAGGCAAACGTCAACATGTTTACGCCGGCTTACAGCATGCACTTTTGCATCTCATATCATTTATTTATAATGTGATTTCACAGTGGTACAGTGATGACCTTGCATTTGGACTTTGGATAGGATTTGCAATGCGCTTATATTAGGACCAGCCGTAATGTACCTCATTAATAAAATCAGTGAATTAATAATCTTTTTTAATTAACTACTCTTTAACGCGGGTCATTTCATCACGTGTTATTTGAACCGTACTTTGGCGCCCGCGTTATGCGATCCTGTGTATTGACAGTTTGAATTGGATCTCCCTTTCCTGCCTATTACTTCCTGTTCTTTTTTAAATATTTGCTTCAATGCGCCGTGTATCTTTCCAAATATATTGGTTTCGGGCTAAAGATGCAGTCATTCATCATATTCGAATGGCCTTAACCCTTGCCTTGTACATTCTAAGCCATTGCTCCTACAAGTTTCGGAAACAAACCAGATCAGTAGGTTAACATTGAATAACTAAGTGTTCAGGTATTGCAATATCAAAGTGTGCGGTATCATGTTATTCCTCTCTCTCCTATTTCCAAGCTGCAGTTATGTGAGTTGTTCATACAATTTATTTTTGGATTTTGAAGGGCGTGAGTGTTCACCCTCGCCTTTTTGTGCACCAGGTCTCCAAAGGCGCAAAATTATGGTAATCGACCTGGATGAGACTTTGATCCATTCTGTCCTTGATGGAATGTCGCGCCAGACAACGGGTTCAGCCTCTCCTCCTGATTTTGTGCTCAAGATGGACGTTGACCATCACCCTGTTCGCTTTTCAGTGCATAAGCGGCCGCACGTTGACTACTTTCTAAATATTGTAAGTCGTTTATCCTCATGTCCGGTGTGCTGGATACGCCTGACTACTCATAGCTTCACAAAAATCGCACGTCTGTTAATGTACCGAAACTACAGACTACCGTCACATACTTTAGTAAACCTGTTGCTCAATTGTCTGTCGTAGTCATGCTTGGCCTATTGTTTCAAAATAAATAGTATTATTTTCCTATGCACTGCTTGCTTTATTACAGATGCTTGTTATATGATCTTGTTCCATGTAGTTAGTTGCATATCAGCTCTTGTAGTAAGTGTGGTTTTCTTCACCACTGATATTCTGTTTCGCTTCGTGTTAGAGGTAAGCT